TGAAAGTGACCAGTCAACATAGATGAAATTAGATACATATATAAATTTCCTTCTGCAATCTGAATCTTACATTAACTATGCTAACTCCAATGACTGCAATCCATCCATACCCGCCATCAGGAGGTACCATTTTCTTTGTTTCGAGTAACATCCTGGACTGCTTTCTGAAACAAAATGATCAATCTCTAAATTAAGTGTTGAACATTAAATTTATAACTTTTACATTTATTTCTCAGTTCAGGCATCAGCATCGCGTCAATACAACTACTTAATAGTGAGTAGCATTAATACACTTATTAATCGTGCAAAATGGACTTTGAATGCAAATGTTTATTTTTTACTAATTACTAACTAATGTAGTAATAACTTTTTGAGCTGAAGTAATTAGAAATTAAATTGTTTACTTCATAACCACCTTTCACCATATAAGCAAGAAACGCGTTATTTACGCAGTGTGTTTAAGAAATTGCTTTTAGGTATTATCCACTTTTTATCATTTCAGTTTATTTCAACATCTTAAAGTAAAGCTCCAGTTGAAATGATTTATTAATTTAAAACTTAACTGCATAATATTATTAATATTTTTTTTTCTTGATAATTCCATCATTTGATTGCAGTTCGGAAATAATTCTGTTTTATTAATGCATTCACTAAAATGTGTTGCTGAATTCGAGAATCATTAGAAAATTCAATTATGCTTATTTTACAGGAAAAAATGACTTTTGACAAGAGATTAATTAGCGTTTTGTCGCTTTATTTTTGGATTACTTGCTTATGATATCGATATGATAAGAAAAGATACCTGTTTTTTTGTCCACAATAAACTATAGCAATAGTAAGTAAAGATCAAAATCGGTTCCTAAAAATAGCTATGATAAAAATTTGTTATTGATTTAATGTTAACCAAAAACGAATTTTTGGTATAAAAAATTAAACAAGTGCGAATTTTGCAAAAAAAAAATTTTTATTACGTTTTTCATTTTTACTATAAACAATTTTTTTTTTGATAATGTACAGTTTTTGTATTATACAAAAGTTAGGTGATACATAGTTTGATAAATAACAAAATAGTGCATATCTTTGTACATATAAGTATATATGATGCATGCAGGAAATTAGGGATAGGTATATTTCACAATAGATTGATAAGGTAACATTCATGCAGTTACGGATATGTATGCAAAATTCTACACTTCATACTTGTGATTAGTGCAACATATATATATGTACATGTACTTGTGTAGGTACCCACGTGTTTTAAACTTTGTTGCAACTTTTACTATGATCGCAATTTTCTTGTATTTTATAATTTAAATAACTACAATTTGAAAAAATGTTGCAAGCTCATCGAGTAAAAGACACTTTGATTATAGGGTTACATTCTCTTCGCATTTTACGTTTAGTGATCGATTTATATCTGTTTGTCACGTGATTCGCACGTGCGCTTCACGTGATCAGTGAATCTGTTTGTTCTACTGCGTGTTTTGGAATGTACACTCCCGCATAATAAAAATCATCATAATCATAAGGTCTTCACCCCGAAGACTAATTGCACACAAAACTCCTGTCTTGGGCATTTCTTAAAAACTGGAGTAACTGTCATCTCCATCTTGACAGTGATGTGTAGCCAAAAGGCTCCGGTTTTTTGCACACTGTATGTCACTATAGAAAGAGTTATAGCAATAGGTAACCAGTTTTGATTGCTCTCTCTTCGACTTATCTGTAATTTTTTATATGTACAGCCGAAACAGAATAATCCTTTTTAATTGGGACATTTTACTGTTAAAGTCGGCCAAAATCTTTTTATATGCACACTATTAGATAAAGCTATAAAACTGTCAAGCATGGGGCGTATGCAGGATTTTCGTTCAAGGGGAGGAGGGCTAATTTGTAATTTAATGTTTATTGTTGTATACAATCTGGGCCTAAATACAGGGTCATATTGACAACCCAAGCGACCGGGCGATTGCCCGGGACGGTATTTTTGTAGGGGCGGCCAAACTGGGTATGGATTTATTTTTTGAGGTTTTGTATTTACTAAAAAAAAAATTTGTTATGCGGTTCAGCAATGGCGCAGCTTGCTCAGTTGAATAACATCTTGATCCTTCTTGTTCTTTTGGGAGGAGTAATAAAAATAAATCCGAAAGCGAAATTTTAAGTAACATGAACCAAAATTTTAGGTTGCAGTCGATTTGGGGTGCTGGGGTCGGCATCTTGTACGGTGAGCCGATCATTTCCATCTGCATAGTTTATTTTGAATAAGTATATATAAGCAAAAGTATTCTAATAATTTCTAATCCAAAGATTAGCCCGTACAGTAAAGCCGTCCGAATTTTGGCGAATGCTGTGATAGCTTTAAAGATGTTACTACCCTACTCGTTTCTGTAGTTTCTGGAGAAAGAAGCTTCTCCAAATTAAAAATAATAGAAATTTATTTAAGATCAAGTATGGATCGAAATAGGCTCAGCGGATTTCAATAGAAAATGGGGTGGCAATTATATTAAATTATAACGATCTAACGGTTTGCCCGGGGCGGCCTTAACTCTACAGACGTCGCTGCAAAATATTATCTAACTGTAAATTTATTCTTCATAAAATATGTGTACATATTGTTTATAAAATTGTTAACACACATCAGTGTGTCTGTTTTCAATTAGAATTAACCCTTTTTCTTTATTCACAGTCTGGTCAAAATATCTCTCCTTTATGTTCGATCGTCCAAAAAAGTACGGTTGCTTCCTTACAAAATTACCATTCCTTGCTGTTACTACCCTCTACATATTTCTAAAAATTAATTTTACAGCTTATTGTAGTAACTTTCTTATCTTTTAATAGATTCCTCGATCATTCACTACCACTTGTTTCTATTATGGTGTTATCATTTCTTACTTAGGGTATTCTTTTAATTTCGGGGGGGGGTTAACCCAATAACTCCCCCCTAGGTATTCGCCTGCTAGATACCTACTTATATAACACCAAATTTAAAGGGAAAGTGTCCGAAGAAGAATGAAGTGTAGTAAATGTATTTAAATGAAGTAACCATTGAATTCCAGAAAATGTGACGCAAGGTACATTGACACCAGGTTAACTTAAATAAGCCATAGTGAATTTCCACTAATCGTAAAAACAGATGTCTTCTAGGAGCGAAAGTACCTGCTAGCTTCCGTCTTAAAAATATATCCAATATAAGACCTGCGCGCCTGTTTTTTATCTTAGAGCGCGGAACACCCAAAAACGAAGTAGAGACGTACTTTTTCAACATTTGTAAGCGACTAAGTTTTATTACAGACAAAACAAGATTGAACGGTTAGGATTGCATTTATGTTAAAAACGTGCAACTTAAAATTTGTTGTAATTATTATTAATGCGTACAAAAGTATCTAAAACGGTTTATGTTACTTAACGTTATGCAGCTGTTTTAGGGGACAGATTAATTAAGTTTAATTGGTCACTAATTAATGGGTTCACCCATGTGATTGGCAATAAACAAAAGATAACTAACAAAATGTTTTTTTGGCTGTTTTTACAAGCAAGTTGATATTTTAATTATATTTGGACACATGTATGTCTGTTTTTAATCATTAGAGCATACGAAAAAATAATTTCAAAAATACCTATCAACTACTGTTTACTCAGCCCATTTCTTACTGATATAGGAAAATTCGGCGATCCTTTTATATAAATAATAAAATAATATAGTCCAATAAAAGCAATTTAAACTTTAGGGGGCGTTACAAAATGCCCGGTTAGGTTAGGTATGAGATATTTTCAGATAAATGTGGCTGAAAAAAAATATTTCACACGTACATTATATTATTCATTTTCACTCGTGCGACATACAAAGGAAAAATACTGAATAAGAAATGTGTAGTTTCTATGTCCAGTGAAGCCTTACTTGTATACCAATATTTCATATGCAAAAACGTTGTTCATTTTACTTTCTTATAAGAACTAGATTCTTAGTAATTACCATTCTCATTAAAATGCAATTCAATTAGCAAATCTAATTAGTTTCAAACATCTGACGTAATATGTAGCATTTAAATGTTAAATACTTTAACTGATACATAAATTCTGGAGTAAACTTTTTACAAATTTTACCTATATGTATACTTATAGTTGGGGATTTTCTAAATCAAGGTTACGTAATCACAGGTTGAACTTTTGAATTTATTTATTGCTACTGTGATGATAATTCGACAAGCTGCACATATTATACTGAGATAGCGAAAAATGACGTCACACTGTTCTAGTGGGTTATGAAGAGAATTAATAAATTTTAGTATAGAAAAAGAAAAACAACAACTTTCGAATTCTTTTGTCACATCGTCTATTTATAAAATCAATACTTTCCCCTTTGAAACTATCTGTAAAGGTTCAAAAATTCTATTTTAGGAACCGCTGTGTACATGGGCGAATAATTTTCAATTAGAAGGTAACAAAGACAAAGCCAACCTTAACACACAAAAACATTATCACTGCACCAATAAATGAACAAAGACTGCCAATAAAATTATTTTCTTTACAATTTGTAACGAAATTTTAATATTGATGAGTGTAGACTGTTTTTTCGATTAGACTGCATCACTGCATACATAAAATATTCACGTTTCTGACCTACGTTTACCTTGAAAACATTGAAATTGTAGAAATATATGTAAAATATATTGCAAATAATTAACTGAAAAACTTGTAACAATTGTACAGGTGCATCTATTAAATGAAGCCGAATAGAACTCATTATAAACAAACGCACTTCTCTGGATCGTTTTATTTTTCTGTGAAATTTTATTTTCTGATATTAAAAAGGGCGACACTGAAACTTTTATTATCAGTTAGTTACACGAAACATTTAGAGCGGTTCTTGACTCATTTAAACAGTAACTGAACGGAAATTAATTACTATATTGTGTTAAAAATAAAAAATAGGTTCAGCGCGAATCCTTTGAAAACCAATAATATTGCCGTTATTTGGTAACATTATGTTAATAGAAATAACCACAACTACTAAGTAGGTACTTGGATATTGAAACTGAAACCTCTTCGTACCTGGGAAATGTTGATTGATGGTCTGCAGTTTTGTCTTACAATTATTTTTTTGTTTACTTTACTCGTTTTAACAACAATTCACATTCACATACATATTGCCACGGTTAACGCGGTGGCAACTTATCGTATTTTAGCCGAAAGCTACACATTGACTCAACATGAATTGTTTCCTCTGACAACGACGTTATACGGTCAACAACTTACTGCCTGCTTCAGTGCTTCGCAAACACGGGCGAAAATCGAGAAATCTGCTGAGCCCACATCCTCATACAACAGAACATTGTACCGTGACGTCATCGCGTGAAACAACGAGACTTAAGTCAAAAATGACAATAGAAACGCATGCCTACAACAATGAGCCAGGCAGGCACTTAGTGGGCATTCTCGCGTTCTGTAAGTGCAATAAATGTTTTTTACAAAGTTTAAAACACATTTCAGTTTATCTTATGACTTATCCTTTCATCCAGCATGCATCAGTGTGTACTAATTTTTATGAATAACAAGTAGGGTTACCAGCTCGTTCAGGAAAAATTAGTTATCATTCGGGAACGTTCTCGAACCTTCTAGAAAATTCTAAAGCATTCTACAACTCTATAGATGTAGGGCATTCAGGACATATCTGTGACATTCTGTAACTGTCTGACCAGATGTCTGAACTCAACACTTTACTGACTCTCTACATATGTGGAGTCCTTTGGGCGATAGTCATTTAGCCCTCATATCTTTGAAACGAACCTCTGCAGCTGAAAACCGAAATCTTCTTCATGAACGAGTATAGAAGACTCTATCATATTGTTACATAGGATTTATAAATTTATTAAGGTGACTTGTACACAGTTGGTAGGTGCAGGTATATCTAAATTATTTATTTACAACTGCAAGCTAACACCTACTTACTTACTGGGTTAGTAGGTCAATTACCGTTTCAATAGTCGAATGAATAATACTCGGAGGCAGTCGAATCCTAAATCAGGAAGAAGCAAATAATGCAGGGTGGTGAGGCGGTTTAGTTTTTTTGTATTACCTGATTGTAAACATTATAAATATAAATCTGTCACTCCACACAATATTGGTTGTTATACCAAACCAATTAATGTAAAATTGATTTCAAAACATATTCATACTCCTTCAAAAGGACGAAGGGAAAAAAATGACATTCGTTTTTAACTGTTATGCCAAATACTATTGCAGTAATGAAAATCGCTCTGTGAATTTTTCATTTTAAATACACTATTTGACAATTTTTTCTACAACTACTTCATTTATTAAGTTTATTAGTGTTTCAAGTGATTATACCAATAACAACAATTTATTGCGTAATTGCTAATTTGAGAAAAAAATGCGATAATTATTGTTAGGATTTCTTGAATTTACAAAAAAAAATAGTTTCTCTTTTTCATGTTTTGTTATTGCTCCAATGCAAGTAGACTTTTTATTGCACCAGCTGCTTAATACATTTTTTTATCCGTGTGTTTGCATTTCCAGCATTGGGCAATATGACCTTGACGTTATATTTCCTAAAATAAAAAATACGTAATGTATGTATGGGTATTGGACGGGTGTATGAAACACGTGCACCTTGACGGTTCTATGTACATAATTTGTGTAATCACAAAATACGCGGGTGTAAATTTAAGCGATACAGGAAACCTTAGCCCGTGTAATCTGCGTAAAAATTTATTTTTTTTAAGCATATGCACCGCATGTATTGATAATTTTAGTCGCTTCAATTGTTAATGCATAAAACATTCGAAAACCATCTGGTAAATACAAAGTAGAATACGTAGTATTACCAACTGTATAAAGTACATGAATCAATTTAGCATATTGGCTAGTTAAATGGTGGAGAAAAAGGCCATAAAAGAGCAGTTTAGGTAAGCAGGATTTTTTTGAGTATGTACACTGTACTTATGGTACGAAAAGACAACTTGAAAGAAGTGAGTATTGTTATGATCATTTCCAGTTCATGTTTTACTTTTGCTTGATAGCCAATATGACAGTTACTTGTTCTACTGTATTGTCTCCATGTCTCCTACACGTTTTGATAATTTAGGTTATGTTGGTAGCATTATATTTGAAGTCAAGTTTGAGGAAGGTGCCGTAAACGGCACTTTTACCAAAAATTTATACATTTTTCTATATTTAATTAAATAAACTGTCTTTCATTAATACATTATTATTGTTATTCATTAAGCATTATTATTAATAAATGTTTTATTAGACAAATTTGAAAAATGAATTTCAAAAAAATGTTTAGGGCGTAGAAATAATAGTGTCAAACTGTAGACAGGGTCTTTTGTTCACTAGCTTTATTACTAATGATACCTATGTGAAAGATGTATTAATGAAAGTATCTAAAAAAAGGTCTGCACAAACTTTTGCAATTAAGGAGATACATTACAAAAAAAAACTAATTCCACTCTAAATGGCGGCTAAATTGGGGATCGCAAAAATCAAGTTTTATAGTCGCTATACACATCAACAGTTATCATGAGAACAATCAATTTTACGTAAATGTATTGAATGTTATGTTATTGATTGCCAACGACCTCTTGAACATATGGCAATTGACCCATAAAATGAAATTAAAATTGTAACATTAATTTATTTATATTTCAAAATAAACACAATGCGAAGTTTTTTTCAAAAATAGTAGTGGATACGTTAGTTAGGAATAATAAAAATGTTAATAGAATCTACTTAAAATTCTTAATTGAGTGTACCTTTTTCTGTTTCCTTTGAGACTGTCGCATTAATAATTGACATTTTGTCTGAATAAATTTGAATTTTACATTAATTAAAACATACTTTTTTTGTTAATTGTCATTTATTTAAAACTATTCAGCGTATTTTATTCACTTTATTAACGTTGCTGTATTTACAATAAATTCTTAAATTTGATAACTAGTCAACATTCTTTTTTATATTAAAAAGAAAGTAATAATAATGTTAATAAATAGGATCACAATTTACACGTATGTAAAATGTTATTGCGGTAGGAGTTTACATTTACATTATAGGAAAAAAATACCAGTTAAGGCGAGCGATTACACAGTATACGCTGGCCGAAA